CTGGTCCTGGACCGGTGGTGTCCCGGACATAGAGGACTCAGTCCGCATGGGCGCGCCACGTCCCGGGTGCCCGGAACGTGGGGGCCGACAGGATGTCCAGGGGGGGCCCACTCCAGGACGAGTGGGGCCTGGCCCCACGGATAGCTGCGGAGGTCTGGCGGAGATTCGGTCGTCCAGTGGGTCGACCTTTTCGCCAGTGCAGAGAACGCACAGTGCCCGTCCTGTTTCGCCTTAAGGGCCGCGGACGAACCGCCATTAGGGGTGGACGCCCTAGCTCACTACCCCTGGCCAGGGGGCCTACTGTATGCATTTCCGCCAGTTCGTCTCCTGCCGGTCCTGCTGCGGAGGATCGAACAGGAGGGGAGGTCGGTGATCCTGGTGGCTCCGGACAGTCCACATGCCCAGTGGTTCCCCTTCCTGAGGGGCATGGCGGTGATGGAGCCCGATAATCGGCCGCAGGCTTTGGGTTTGGAGGCGGAACCTCGTAGACCTGGGTCTTCCCCCGGCGGTGGTGGAGACTATTCAGGGGGCGAGGGCGCCGTCCACTGTGAGGGCCTACGCCACAAGATGGAGGCTCTTCAGCGACTGGTGCGGCTCTCGCTCCTGGGATCCCAGGCGTTGCCCGTTGGAGGGAGTCCTGGGATTCCTGCAGGAATTATTTGACAATGGGAAGGCTGTCGCCACCCTGGCGGTGTTCGCGGCAGCCATTACCTCGGGTCACGACGGTTTCGGGGGGTTCACAGCCCGCTCTCATCCGTTGGTCAAACGTTTTCTGCTGGGGGCACGCAGGAGGAAGCCCCCGCTTCAGAGAACGCCCCCAGTTTGGGACCTCAGGGTGGTCCTTAGGGGTCTGTCGGCCCCGCTTTTTGAACCGGTGGCGGAGGCGAGTCCCGAGTGTGTTGCTTTTAAGACTGCCCTCTTGCTGGCGTTGGCGTCTGCTAAGAGGGCGGGCGACTTAGGGCAAACGTGAATCTTCCCCTAACCAGTGTTTGTTCCACTAAGTTGTCCCCGGTGTCATCTTGGTCGTCCTTCTCTCCTGTCAGCTTACAGGATGTGAACACTTTAGTGAATAACATGAAGCCTTCCTCGAGCCCGGCTGACATTGTCCCAACGTCACTATTTTTGAAAATGTTCAGTACTGTTGGCTCCTGTGTGGTTAAAATAATTAACCTCTCTCTTTCATCTGCCTCAGTCCCCAGCTACTTCAAGCATGCTGTGGTAAACCCAATCCTTAAAAAGCCCAATCTGGACCCTTCAGAACCTAAAAACTACAGGCCCATCTCCAAACTTCCTTTTATTTCCAAAATTCTGGAAAAAGTAGTGGCATGCCAGCTGACCTCCTTTATGGAACAGCACAATTTGTTTGATCCACTTCAGTCTGGTTTTCGTAAATTACACTCCACTGAAACAGCTCTTATCAAAGTTTCTAGTGATGTAATGATGGCAGCCGATTCCCAACGCTACACAGTTCTTGTACTTCTGGATTTGTCCTCTGCCTTTGACACTGTGGATCATAATATACTTATTGACCGGCTTCAAAATGAGATAGGGCTTTCTGGGTCTGTCCTCCAGTGGTTCTCCTCATATGTCCATGGCAGAACTTTTAACGTTGCTTTAAACAATGTACAGTCAGATGTGACTAATCTGTCCTGCGGAGTGGCACAGGGATCAGTTTTGGGTCCGATTTTGTTTTTATTGTACATTTTGCCACTTGGTAAAATTATTAATCACTTCGAGGATGTATCCTACCATTTCTATGCCGATGACGTCCAGTTGTACTGTTCTTTTAATGACTCTGAGTTCCAGCGCTTGTCATCATTTTTGGAGTGTGTGTCCTCCATTAAAGACTGGCTGGCCACTAACTACTTACAGTTAAATTCCAACAAAACTGAAACGCTCATCTTTGCTCCAGACCATAAGATCCCGCTGATCAAACAGCACCTTGGCTCTCTTGGCTCCTCCGTCAAATCCAGCCTCAGAAACCTAGGGGTTGTGTTTGACCAGGCCATGTCTATGGAGACACACTCCAAACAGCTCGTCCGTAACTGCTTTTATCACCTTAGGAACATTGCAAAAATCCGCAATATGTTGTCAAAGAATGATCTGGAAATGATCATTCACGCTTTTATTTCAACAAGACTTGACTATTGCAACTCTGTTTTTACCTGCTTGAATAAGTCTGCACTCAATCAACTTCAAATTGTTCAAAATTCTGCTGCTAGACTTTTAACAGGTGCCCCTCGTAGGTCCCATATCACTCCTGTTCTGTCTGTTCTTCATTGGCTCCCAGTCAAATTCAGGATTGATTTTAAGATCTTAGTGCTGACCTTCAGAGCCTTAAATGGTCAGGCCCCCCAGTACATCCTGAACCTTTTGAGCCTGTACTCCTCTGGCCGTTCTCTCCGGTCCTCTGGCCAGAACCTGCTTGTGGTCCCCAAAACCCATTATAAGACTCGAGGGGACCGGTCTTTTCAGTCTGTTGCCCCCAGACTGTGGAACGCCCTGCCCCTGTCCCTACGTCTGGTCGACTCTGCGGACTCTTTCAAAAAAGGCTTGAAGACTTATTTATTTAAGAAAGCTTTTAGTTGATTGGGTTCTCACTGATGTCACTTTTAAGTACATAAAATGTGTAATGTGTGTAAGTGTATTTTATATTGTTTTGTATTTGCCCACTGTCCTGTACAGCACTTTGTGATTTTTATCTGTGAAAAGCGCTTTATAAATAAACTTTACTTACTTACTAAATAAACTTTACTTGTGTGCGCTCTCCGTCCATGCGTCTTGCCTGTCCTTTGGAGAGGGTGACAGCCTGGTGGAGTTGTGGCCCAATCCGGCTTTTCTCCCTAAGGTCATCACGCCGGCCTTCAGGTTGAGAGTGATCAGGATTAGGGCCTTCCATCCGCCGCCGCTCCTCCTCGGGGGAGGCATGCTGACAGGACACAGAAGGTGTCCTGTCAAAATGCTTAGGCGTAACTGGCCATGACATCTTCATTCAGGTTGGTTGATCAGCTGTTTGTGTGTCTGGGCCCCAAGAACAGGGGCGCCCCGCTGTCGGCTCAGCGGCTGGCGCATTGGGTCGCCACGGCTGTGCGGCGAGCGCATCAGGCTCAGGGTCTGGCCCCCCCGGTGGGCTTCAGGTCGCACTCCATGCGTGGGGTGGCGGCCTCTACGGCCCTCCTCCGGGGGGCTTCGGTCGAGGACGTGTGCCGTGCGGCTTCTTGGGCGTCGTTCTTTTCTTTCGTCCGGTCTTACCTTTTGGATGTGTCGGACCGGTCGGTGGCCCATTCCGTGCTTAGTGCAGCGGACTGAGTTGAAACCTTTATGTTTCTCCTCTTAGGGGCCGACGGTTGACTTTCCGCCCTGGTTCAGGAGCTCTTGGGAGTGGCGCCCTGCAGGTGCGATATATGTGTGTGCTTTGGTCAGTCAGGTAGTCCACGTCAGGAGCTCTTGGGAGAGGCGTCCTGGGACTACGGGTGGCCTTCGGTCTGTGTTACTTGGGGGTGTCCTTGGGAGGAGTGGCCCTGTAACACGCAATTGCTTCTTCTGCCCTGAGTCCTCTCACTTGTGAGGGTCTTGCTCGGGCAGAGCTCCAATCACTCTTCGCTGGCCTGCTGGGAGTACATGTTCCTACGGCCTCCGCGCTGTGTCCCACTAGCGAAGTCCGCTAAGGGACGTAGAACCATGACGTAGAATTAATAGTATCCTGTAAACTTAAGTTCTACGAATAGGTGCGTAGTCCCTTAGCTACGAGCCCATCAGGCCAGCCCGGCTTGGCAGAGTTCAAGAGGGGGCGCGGCTATGGAGCAGGGGCTTTTATAGAGGAGGGTCGCTAGTGATTGGAGCATTTTTGTTTGATCTCTCTGGCGTCTGTGACCTGGGGGTCACGTGATATCCCACTAGCGAAGTCCGCTAAGGGACTACGCACCTATTCGTAGAACTTAAGTTACACAGGTAACTATTAATTACCCATGATGCTTTGCTCAAGCTTATATTGCACGGATCATTTGTCACCATGTTATCTAAAGCCACAAATTCGGCCGACACTGACCGCGTTTAGTATATTGATACACTGGAGTAATCTGTGAGGCAAGATCCCTGAAGAAATTGAGAATGATCGGAGATTTGGATCCATGTGAAATGAGGCGAGACCAGTGGACTTTGCCATAAATGGCTTACTTTCACTTTTACAGTTTTACAATTAAAAAAAGGTCATGATGTACATATGATGCACTATTTCTTTCAATTAATAATTTATTTTGAACGAAGCAGTTGATATCACAGGCCGCAAAATGTTAAAACCTTTCATGCACATTCAGGGTCAAAATGTGGTTCAAAGAGCAGAATAGCAATAGTAAGTATCTAGTTTCGGCATAATAAAGAAGCAAGTGTAAAATCTCCAGCTTTAGCATAATAAAGGATTAAGTATAACATCTCTGACTTAAGCAATACATATACTGGTTCCACATCCCTATGGTTTTGCACTGGTCCAGACCGTAGCGGAAAGAATTCATGGTCCGAACCAAGCGGATCAGGCAAAAATCCACTGGAGGAAGGCTAACTTTTTGAAAAATGCTAATGAAGCATTTAGAGTTTTACTTTGGACGAGAGGGGAAAAAAATGGTCCAAACCCAGCAGCTGCTCCACCTCTGCTGCCATGACCTGAAGAGCTGTTGCACTTTAATATTACTACTTGGCCTTTTGCAATGATCAATTTGTTTTGTTTGTGTGGATGGATGTGTTTTTGCTGCGACTGGACACCTACATTTCTCCTATGGGGATCAATAAAGTATATCTATCTATCTATATCTCAGTGGTCACCGTAGAAACACACAGCATTAAATTGAATCCTTAAATTGAATCCTTACAAATGCATCTTTTGAGCTGTAACCAAGGGAGTTTGTAAATCTCTGTCGAGCATCATTCAAACTTTTCAGATCAGACAAACAGCAGAAGCTTCAGTGCATTGCTTTTCTCTGGATTTACCTGTTGGACACTTCACCATGAAGTCTACGTCCGACACATATATTGATGTGAGTGAAATAACTGTAATGTACTTTTTATTCGTGTTTGTCAATTGTGTTGAGTGCATTGTGTTGTTACATCAGTAACAAGTTAACCCCATGTACCTGCTGCAAACAGTGTTAAATGTATTTTACAAGCAGTGACGCCGCATCGAGCTAGCACATGTAACTAGTACATGTAACATGTAGTACAAGTAACATGTAGCTAGTTTACAAAGATAAAGTAACAGCTGTAAGCTAGTCTTACTGCATCCAGATACTATGCACATTTCACTTTTTATTTCTTACATTTGGAAAATTGTCTTTAATGTCACTTTTTGCAGTGATACTCAGCTGTCCGTGTTTTAATACAACTATATCAATTATCAAACCCTAAAATATATCTTATATTATTTTCACTCATTTTGCACCATGTAAAAGGTAAACAAAAACATCTCTATGGCGATGGCTTTTTCTTAACAACATTTCCATGACAACTCAACTCACAAAATATTGCATGTGCATTGTTTGATCTTGGATTTTGGTGTGAATGATAATTAAAGCTGGGGTACCTAACTTTTCCTCTCAAGCAGTTTTCAAATGTAGTGTCATGTGTTTATGGCCTTTTTCAAATCATATTTTAAGCTAGAAAAGTCAGCAAAGTGAGCACCACCCTTACTCAGCCAATCAGCTCTTATCCAACAATACTTCTTGTTAAGTTTAGCTTTGTTTCTTTGGCTATAAGAACATGTGCATATTTGTTGGATTAGATTATACAAACACATACTATGTGTAGTAGTAACGCTATCTACAGTATCGATCGATCTAACTACCTACATCTATCTAGGTAGTTAGATCTATCTACAGTATCTACCTGTATCTATATATTTATATACCTGTGCTGTGTGTGGAGTTCCCTGAGCCCGAGGACCAGCCCGAGGACCAGCCCGAGTACCAGCCCGAGTACCAGCCCGAGTACCAGCCCGAGTACCAGCCCGAGTACCAGCCCGAGTACCAGCCCGAGGACAAGTCTGAGGACCAGCCTGAGGATTCCAAGGCTAGTGTGGATCCATGGCCTCCTTCCCTGCTGTTCCACAATGGATGCCCGCTGCTGAACCACGGAGGAATAGCGCGCACTCTCTGGGACATTATTGTCAACCTGGCCACCCTCTACATCGCCATCATCGTGCCCTACGAGATCACCTTCATGAGAGCCAACCTGGCAAACCGACCCACCCTGGTGCTGGACACCATCATGGAGGTCTTCTTTGTCCTGGGTGAGTACTTTCATTGTGTTCATTTTGACAGAGAGGTTAGACCGGTCATTTTTATCAAAATTATAATAACAACGGCTACATTTCCGGTCGTGTCTGGTGTGGCGCTGGCAGACATCTTGGTGAACTTCCGGACCAGCTACGAAGTGGAGGAGGTACTGGTGACCGACAGCCGCTCCATCTGCGTGCGCTACGTGAAGTCCTGGCTCCTCATCGACATCATCGCCGCGACGCCCCTGGACCTGCTCCACATCTTCAACATCCACGTGGTTAGTTCATCGGCGAGGCGGGTTTATTTGTATGGCACAGGCACAGGTCATGCATAAGGAAAATGCAAAGTGCTCAAGATTAATTAAGATTCAGTTCTTCAATTGTAGCACAGACAGAGATGTTTTAACCTGGATTTGAACATTGTCAGAGTAGAAGCCTGTCTCACATTTTCAGGGAGATTTTTCCAGATTTTAGCTGCATAAATCTGATTGTTTAGTCCTGACTCTGGGACCGGCAGGAGGCTAGTCCTTTTACAACTCTGCCTTCTTTAGCTTTAGTCAATTCAAGAAAGAATTGAAATCTAAAGATAATAACAACAAATCAAGTTGAAGATTTTCGCTCAAGAAATACAAGTTTTTTGACGAACGTTTTGGTCGTGTGTTGCTGCCAGAGCGACAAGATGCACCTGATGAAGACCGTGAGGCTGGTGCGGCTGGTGCGGCTGATCAAGAAGCTGGAAAAGTACTCGGCCAACAGCACCTTGGTCCTGTCCATCCTGATGTTCTCCTTCACACTGATCGCTCACTGGGCCGCCTGTGTGTGGTACGAGATCGGCCTGTTCGACCTCGGGACGTCGCACTGGCAAGTGGGTGAGCTCACTTTATCAACATTTGTGGACTTTCCTACCCTGATTTTAACACACAATCTTACTAATTGAATTTCATATTTAGATTGATTTGCTCCATTGAGCTCCTGTAACAGGTGTATGGGGTTAACTCCTTTTGTAGATCTGAGTTTGTAATGCGCCCGAGTGAGTGAGGATTGTAGAATTTAGCCTAGCTTTAGCATTTAGCCTTGCTTTAGCCATTCTTTACCACTAATGAAACCCGTTGGGAGTAGAGCCACAACATCTTTGCAGCAGTGATATTTGCTAAACATTCATCTTCCTCCGACTTCAATTTCTTGATATTTGGAGCTGAACCAGAACGGATTACTTTACTATATTTTGTATTGTGTGTGTCTACGTGTGTGTTTGTGTCCGTGTCAGAACCTCCACAATAATATGCTGATATCTTAACCTGACTCCCCGGAAAAATTAATGGCCCACCCCTGCTTAGGACTCTTGTTTAGCAAATACAAATGTCATGATTTGTGCAGCATGATTTGTCATGATTTCTCTCCTCCTCAGGGTGGCTGGCCCAAATGGCGAAGAGGCTGGAGCGGCCATACTTGGCGAACAGGACAGGGGGTCTCTCGGAGGCGGATGCCTACACGGGGGCCATCTACTTCACCGTGAGCAGCATGACGACGGTGGGCTTCGGCAACATCAGCCCCCACACCAAACCTGAGAAGTGGTTCGCCACCTGCCTCATGTTGTCCGGAGGTACTGCACATCCACACGTCCTCAGACAAACTAGTACTGCATCAAATATGAGATAAAAAAATATATATTTGAATCAAATGTTTTTTCATCCAATTTGTGTACATTCTGTGGTAAAACAAGGGGCCAAAGCCATTTAGTCTCATTTACAGAAATGTTGCCTTATTTTCTACCTGAGGGAGGAGGTCTGAGTCTGTGGACCTGAGGGAGTGAGGAGGTCTGAGTCTGTGGATCGGAGGCGGTGGGATAGTGAGATGATTGTTTACAGAACAGCTGTAGCAGTTTTTGTACCAAAATCATATATATTTAAGTTTTTGTCTGACTTTTCTGCAGCTCTGATGCATGCCCTTATCTTTGGGAACGTGTCAGCCATAATCTACCGCCTCTACGCCGGTCTCTCCAACTTCCACGTTCGCATAAATGAGCTAAAAAAGTTCATCACAGAGCATGAGTTTCCGGAGGACCTCAGCAGAAGTATGCGCTGCTACGCCAAAAACAACTGGGCGTCTCAAGGGATCAAGCACCATGTGGTGAGATGTGCTTTGGATAAATGCAATTCAATTCATTTTATTCTTGTATAGGACTTTTCAAAACTTAAACCGTTAAAATTTAAGATAAACTTTATTGATCTCACAATGGAGAAATGTACATTTGGCATAAATAGAATCACTCAGGTGCAAAACGACTGGAAGTGTGCAACATGTTAAAACACAGGAAAAGCAATGATAAAAAGACTCACAGAGCCATTGGTCCATAAGGACTAGACCAAAGTCCATAACTGTTGATAAATGTTGACTGTGGAGTGTCCTGGATCTTCCTCCTCCATCTCTGAAGTGATATCTCTGAAGTGACATCTTTAAAGTGACATCTCTGAAGTGACATCTCTAAACTTGCAGCTGCTCCAGGATTTCCCGGAGGACATCTACAGTAAAATCCACCTGCACCTGTTTCGCCAAATCCTGGACCAGCCCCTGTTCAAGCGTGGCGACGCCAGAGTGAAGAAGGAGCTGGCCCTTCATGTGAGCGTCTCCACCCATCACCACGGCGATGTCTTCATCCACAAGGGCGAGGTGGTGCAGGCGCTGCATATGGTCAGCAGTGGAGCGCTGCAGCTGCCAAATGGAGACTTACTAGGTTTGTTCTTGGATCAATTCAGTTTCATTTATTCTTGTATCGCCGAAGGACTTTACATAACCGTTGATTCTCCAACACAGATCAGAAAATCAAACAGTTCAAACACAGGAAATGTAATGGTAGAAAACACTTGGGTCCATAAGTAAAAGAGACCAATGTCCATAAATGTGGTTGAATGTGGAATGTCCTCAAACTGTTTTTTTTTTTATTGGATTGAATCAAATGCAAATGAAAGGTGAATGTTTCAGGCCCAGGAGTGCTGTTTGGAACCTGGCAGATGAGGAGGCGTCCGATGTCAAGTGAGACGCTGCGAGTTGTGGGCGGCTGCAGCGTCCACTCTCTGAGTCTGGAAGCTTTGCAGAGAGTCTTAGACCTGTTCCCACAGTGGGGCATGGAGTTCTACAGGGACCTGCAACTGGACCTGGACTTTGACATCGGCCCCAAGGTACAAACACACACACGTGCACACTCTCACACACACAGACTACGACATCCGCCCCGAGGCACACACCAGATTCAGATTCAGATTCACACACATACACACACACACACATATACACACACACACGTGCACACTCTCACACACACAGACCATGACATCTGCCCTGATGTACACACTGCTGCTTCACTACACACACATATGTACATACATGTGCACACACACATACGCATACACACACACACACATCCTCCAGCTCATGCAGGGGAATCCTGACATGTTCCCCTCTGAGACAGAGTCCCTCTGTGTCGTGGGTCTCCCTGTAGGAGGCGCCCTGGAGTAGAGCATTCTATCCCATTTTGTCAAATCTGCAACATCTCAATCTAGATTACAAAATCGGGAATTAAATTTGGAATTAAATAATATTGTTCACTAAGAAAATGAAGATGAGAGATCATTGTAATTAGAATCCTACGTCTGCAAAGAGATTCTAGCCCAGGGGCTCAGGCCCATGTTCGGTGGCGCCAGGTCAAACCAGTCTTTGACACCATAAAAACACTTAATAGCGTCAGAATCAGAATCAGAACCATTTTTATTGTAAGTAACAGGAAGTCACAGACTTAGAAATTTCTTTGGCTCTTGGTGCAACAGTCAAAGAAGAGAGGTAAAGAGTAGAGTACGGCATTATAAAAAAAAATTGCATACACTTCGAAGGTATAAAAATGATGTGGTTTTTACATGTGGCCATGTAAAAACTTTTTTGTAAAGCTCAGGACCTCTGGGTTCAAGTTTTTTCATTCATTCTCATGTTGTGTTTGTGTTTTCAGACCATGGATAATTTCTTCGACTGCCACACGGACTCCACCGCGTTTGCGTGAGTGTGGACTGGGCCTGGACTGGTCCTGGACTGGTCTTGTAATGGGCCTGGAGTGGGCTTGGAGTGGGCCTGTGGAGCCGATGCTAGTTTCCATAGCAACACACTGCAGTTAGCATGTGTTAGCCTGTCTACAGTTTGTAGACAGCCTTTTTTTCTGTATTGCAGATATATTCACCAGTTTTAGCTGGTGAATATATCACTTTTAAACTAAACTAAAATTTTGGGGATTCTTTACAGAATTTTCCTGGTTTGAATGAGCAGTGTAGTTTCAGAGTTCAATTTTCTGCGTGTGTAATATAGCATTTTCATTGTTGTTGAGTTTGTGCTGAATATTTGATTTGGTCTAATTGGGTTTATTGAGTGAAAAATTTGCCTTTTTGACTTTGTGTTATATGATATGATTTTTTGGTCCATATTGGTCCTTACTTGTCGACTGACACTTACTTTGTGTTCAATAAAATGTCAAAGTGTATTTCTGTTTTGTTGTTTGTGTGTATCATCATAATTGCCCTTCGATCACTGCCCTTCGACCCTCCTGCATTAGCACGGAAAAAAATGCTAAATTGTGGTACTTTTAATGGTAATGTTTTATATATATTTAAAACTGCTCTAGGAGTCTCACATGTTTACTGTTTTATTATTTTCAAGATCTATACTTTCTGAAATGAGTAACTAGTTTTAGTGTTGACTAACATCTGATTCTTGATACTTTGAATGATAATAATGATTCCTTTTTGTTCCATGGTGCCTTTTGAGAAACCCAATTGATTAGGCCACACAATAGATAAAAACACACAATAAATCTTCCCATGAACAATCTTTTATGTTCATGGGACCCTCTCAAAAATGAGATGCGCATCTCAAGGGGTTTTCCCTAAATAAATCTAAATCTAAATAAAATACAGAAAAGACTGTTAAAAAAAGATTAAAAACTCATTGGACAAGGAATTTTCTCTGCACAGACATGGCTTTTGTAGAACCAGGAGCCGTGTGCATCTCGTCAGAATCAGAATCAGAATCATTTTTATTGCCACGTAAGTAACAGGAGGTCACAGACTAGGAAATTGCTTTGGCTCAGTGCAACAGTCAAAAAGAGATAATAAAAATAAGAATAAAAAACACTTCTAAAGAATACATTTAAATTTAAAATAGAGATACAGTTACTATTTACAATATACAAGTGCACATGGTGCACACAATGTAAGGTGACAGCAGTACAGTGAAGTAAAGTGACGTATGATGGGCAGTAAAGTGACTTTATAAAGGGCGGGGGGACAGGTTAACAGCAGAGGGGAAGAAACTGTTCTTGTGGCGGGAGGTTCTAGTCCTGATGGACCGCAGCCTCCTGCCTGAGGGGAGTGGATGGAATAGTCCATGTGCAGGGTGAGAGGGGTCGGCTGTGATACGACCAGCCCGGCCTCGAGCTCGGGCGACGTACAGGTCCTGCAGCGATGGAAGGCTGCAGCCGATCACTTCCTCTGCAGAGCGCACAATGCGCTGTAGTCTCTGTTTGTCCCTGACTGTGGCTCCAGCGAACCACACGGTGATGGAGGAGGTGAGGATGGACTCGATGATGGCCGTGTAGAACTGCACCAACATCTGTGCAGGCAGCTTGGCTTTCCTGAGCTGCCGCAGGAAGTACATCCTCTGCTGGGCCTTCTTGATGAGGGAGCTGATGGTCGGCTCCCGCTTGAGGTCCTGGGTGATGGTGGTGCCCAGGAAACGGAAGGACTCCACAGAGGTGATGGGGGAGTCCATCACGGAGGGTGGGGGTGGGGGGACAGTGCTCTTCCTGAAGTCCACAATCATCTCCACTGTCTTCTGGGCGTTCAGCTCCAGGTTGTTACCACTGCACCAGGACACCAGCCGGTCCACCTCCCTCCTGTAGCGGACTCATCGTTGTTGGAGATGAGTCCAATGAGGGTGGTGTCGTCCGTGAACTTGATCAGCTTCACGGAGTCGTGGCTGGAGGTGCAGTGGTTGGTGTACAGGGAGAAGAGCAGGGGAGAAAGAACACAGCCCTGTGGGGCTCCTGTATTTATAATCCGAGAGTCCGAGACATTCTTCCCCAGACGCACTCGCTGCTTCCTGTTCGTCAGGAAGTCAGTGATCCACCTGCAGGTGGAATCGGGCACGTTGAGCTGGGAGAGCTTGTCCTGGAGCAGGGATGGCAGGATTGTGTTGAAGGCAGAGCTGAAGTCCACAAACAGGACCCTGGCGTAGGTCCCCGGGGAGTCCAGGTGCTGTAGGATGTGGTGGAGGGCCAGGTTAATGGCGTCGTCTACAGATCTGTTGGCTCTGTAGGCGAACTGCAGGGGGTCCAGGAGGGGGGAGGTGAGGGACTTGAGATGGGAGAGAACCAGGCGTTCAAATGACTTCATGACGACAGACGTAAGTGCTACAGGTCTGTAGTCATTGAGTCCTGTGATCCTGGGCTTCTTCGGGACGGGGACAATGATGGAGGATTTGAAGCAGGCCGGGACATGGCAGGACTGCAGAGAGGTGTTGAAAATGTCCGTGAACACAGGAGTAAGCTCACTGGCGCAGTGTCTCAGAGTGGCCGGAGACACGTGGTCCGGGCCAGGAGCTTTGCGGGGGTGCAGCCTCAGGAAGAGTTGTTTAATCTCTTTAGCGGCTATTGTTAGGCTGGGGGCAGGGCTGATGGGTGGGTCGTTAGAGTAGTGGGGGGTGGGGGAGGGAGAGGTGTCAGGGGCAGCATCAAAGCGACTGAAAAATAAGTTCAGATCGTCAGCTAGCTTGTGGTCGTCAGCACAGGGGGGGGCTTTGGGCTTGTAGTTGGTGATCTCCCGTAGGCCCCTCCAGACAGAAGCAGTATCGTTGTTACCAAACTGTTCCTGTAGTCGTTCTCTGTGCCGGGACTTGGCTGCTTTCAGTTCTCTCCTGAACTGATATTTAGCTGCTTTGTAGCCGCTGCGGTCCCCCTCCCTGAAAGCAGACTCCTTTGCTTTCCTGAGCTGCCGGAGTTTAGCAGTGAACCAGGGTTTGTCGTTGTTATAGATGACCCTGGTCCTTGTTGGAATGATGCTATCCTCACAGAAGTGAATGTATGACGTCACAGTGTCCGTATATTCATCCAAACTATCTGTGGCAGCTCTGAAAAGGTCCCAGTCTGTAGATTCCATGCATGCGCGCAGCTCTTCCACAGCTTCATCAGACCACACTTTGGAGCTCCTCATTGCAGGTTTCGAGAGCTTTAGTCTCTGTCTGTAAGCAGGAACCAGATGTATCATGAGTGATCTGAGAAGCCGAGGGCTGGCTTGGGAACAGCGCGAAAAGCTCCGCGCACGGTGGTGTAACAGTGATCCAGAGTGTTCTCCTCTCTGGTCGGGCATTTGATAAACTGTCTGTATTTGGGTAATTCCTGGCTCAAGTTTCCCTTATTAAAATCCCCCAGGATAATAATCAGAGAGTCCGGGTATAAGCGTTCCATACACAGTACTTGCTCTGCGAGTGCGCGCTGAGCCTCGCGCGCGTCCGCGCATGGCGGTATGTAAACAGAGGCAAGAATGAATAGTTACCTAATGTAACTTAAGTTCTACGAATAGGTGCGTAGTCCCTTAGGACTTCGCTAGTGGGATATCACGTGACCCCCAGGTCACACGCCAGAGAGATCAAAATAATTTGCTCCAATCACCAGCCACCCTCCTCTATAAATGCCCCTGCACAAGGCCGCACCCCCTCTTGAACTCTGCCAAGCCGGGCTGGCCTGATGGGCTCGTAGCTAAGGGACTACGCACCTATTCGTAGAACTTAAGTTACATTAGGTAACTATTAATTCTACGTCATGGTGCTACGTCCCTTAGGACTTCGCTAGTGGGACACAACGCGGAGGCCGTAGGAACATGTACTCCCAGTAGGCCAGCGAAGGGTGATTGGAGCTCCACCCGAGCAAGACCCTCACACAGTGAGGGGACTCAGGGCAGAAGAAACAATGCGTGTTACAGGGCCACTCCTACCAAGGATACCCCCATGTAACACAGATGTAGGTCATCCGTAGTCACAGGACGCCTCTCCCAAGGGCTCCTGATGTGGACTACCTGACCGACCAAACACACATATATGTACCGCACCTGTAGGATGCCTCTCCCAAGAGCTCCTGAACCAGGGCGGAAAGTAAACCGAAGGCCCCCTCAGAGGAGGGACCTAACGGTCTAACTCAGTCCGCTGCACTCAGCACGGAATGGGCCACCGACCGGTCCGACACATCCAAAAGATAAAACCGGACGAAAGAGGAGGACGACGCCCAAGAAGCCGCACGGCAGTCGTCCTCGACCGACACCCCCCTGAGAAGGGCCGCAGAGGCCGCCATCCCACGCGTGGAATGCGCCCTGAAGCCCACCGGGAGGGCCAAACCCTGCGTCTGATACGCCCGCCGCACAGCCGTGGCGACCCAGTGCGCCAGCCGCTGAGCCGACAGCGGGGCGCCCCTGTTCTTGGGGCCCAGACACACAAACAGCTGATCACCCGACCTGAATGACAACGTCATGGCCAGGTAATGCCTAAGCATTCTGACAGGACACAGAAGGTGCCACCGCTCCTCCTCGGGGAAGGCATGCGGTGGCGGATAGAAAGCCCTAATCCTGATGACTCTCGACCTAAAGGCCGACGTGATGACCTTGGGGAGAAAGCCGGATTGGGCCACCATACCACCATGCCGTCGCCCTCTCTAAAGGACAGGCAAGACGCATGGACAGAGAGCGCACACAAGTCGCCCGCCCTCTTAGCAGACGCCAACGCCAACAAGAGGGCCGTCTTAAAGCGTCACACTCGGGACTCGCCTCCGCCGCCGGTTCAAAAGGCGGACCCGACAGCCCCCTAAGGACCACCCTGAGGTCCCAAACCGGGGGCGTTCTCTGGAGCGGGGGCCTCCTCCTGCGTGCCCCCCCGCAGAAAACGTTTAACCAACGGATGAGAGCGGGCTGTGAACCCCCCGAATCCGTCGTGACCCGAAGTAATGGCTGCCGCAAACACCGCCAAGGT